CCTCCTCTCCTCCCCCCCCTCCTCCTCCTCCTCCTCCTCCTCCTCCTCCTCCTCCTCCTCCTCCTCCTCCTCCTCCTCCTCCTCCTCCTCCTCTCCTCCTCCTCCTCCTCCTCCTCCTCCTCCTCCTCCTCCTCCTCCTCCGCACCCTTGCCAAGAGAAATGTTGGGCGGTTCCAGCCGTGGAGGCGAGGAGCCTCCTGGACGCTGGGCAAATCGTGTTTATCCTGGCGAAAGACCCAACCAAACGCAGGTCTGAATACCGCGAGGCAGGTGGGACGAGGGAGGGGGACCTCTGACGTTCAAACTCCAGATGGCTCCCACAACCACCTTGTTCGAGCAAACGGCGCCTTTAACGTCAATTGCACGAAAGGCCCCTGTCGAAGCAGACAGGACGAGCACGCCCTGAGAACGTGCCTCAGGTGCAGCAGAGCTACAAAAGGGCGACCTCGCCTCGGCGAGCGCCGCTTTGGGGAGGGGGAGGGAAGTCGCATGTGGACGCGCCAAAGTGGCGGCGAAATATGTGAGGCTACGCCACGATGGAGGGGAACCGCCGTGGACGCACCCTGTCGGGCATTAGCTGGAGCCTCCTTTTTTTATGCGGCCACGAGACGTGTGATGGGTGTGCCGTATTGGGTGGGGAGCCGCATGTGGACGTACGCGCTGGGGCCGTAGGTGGAGCACCCGCAGGGGCCACAAAACATGTTAGCATATACCGGAACGGTCGGGGAACCGCATGTGGACGCATCCATCGATGGATCTCCCTGTGAGGCCACGAAGCGTGTAAAGGGTGTACCAGAATGGTCGAGAAGCCGCATGTGGGCACACCCAACGGGGCTTCTAGGTGGAGCTCCTTATAGGACAATGAAACGTGTGAGGGGTTGGCGGACATGGGCTGGGGGACGCTATGCGACCCTCCCCTGGGGCCTTAGGTGGAGCTCCCCGTAGGGCATCTAAGCGTGTGGGGTGTGTGCCGATATAGGCTGGAGGCACTATGCGACACCCACATGGGGTGCAAATCTCCTAGTGGGGCTTGGGTGGAGTTCCCTATGGGACCACGAACCGTGTGAGGTGTGTGTGTGTGTGGTGTGTGTGTGTGTGTGTCTGTCTGTCTGTCTGTCTGTCTGTCTGTCTGTCTGTCTGTCTGTCTGTCTGTCTGTCTGTCTGTCTGTCTGTCTGTGTATGTGTTTGTGTGTGTGTGCGCGCGCGTGTGTGTGTGTGTGCCGACATGGGCGGGGGGGAGGCTTTGCGACCCCCACCTGGGGCATTGCGTGTAGTTCCCTATGGCCACGAAACGTGTGAAGGGTGTGCCAGAATGATCGGGGAACCGCATGTGGAAGCACCCACTTGGGCATATAGGTGGAGCTCCCTGTGGGAGCATGAAGAATGTGAAGGGGTGTGCCGAAATGGGCTGGGCAACGACGTGGAGCTCCCTATGGGGCCACGTAGCATGAGAGGGGTGTGTCGAAAACTGCATTCGGAGGCCAGAAGTAGGGAGCAGAGGGAGGAGGGGGAGGCGAGGAGAGGAGAGGAGAGGAGAGGCGAGGCGAGGAGAGGCGGGGCGCTGCGTATTCAAAACGAGGACCCGACAGCACAAGATGGCTGGAAATGAAACAGCTTACGAAAACCGGCCCGCCCGTCCCTGTCCACGACGCGAGTTCTGGGTCTCCAGCCGAGGCGCGCCCCCGCCGTGGCGCCCAGAGGAGCGCTCCTCGGCGCACGACACGCCGCCCTGGATGCGACGCGCGATGTCCTGCGCGAAGGGGCGACGATGGCGGCGACAGCGACGACGACGGCGACCGTGGCGGCGGCAACAACAACGACAATGTCGGTCGCGGCGGCGGGCGGCGGCGGCGGCGACGGCGACGGACGGCGGCGACAGCGACGGCGACCACGACCGCGACGACGGCGGCGGCGACAATGGCGACGACGGCGGCCGCGGTGGAGGCGACGACGACGATCACGTCGGCGGCGACGGCGACGTGACGGCCGAGTCGAGCCTCGAACCTTTGCTGATAGAGACCTCCGGAGGCCGCCATGCCTCGCGTAGGGGGCCACGAGCGAGCCCCACCCCTGCCCCCCACGATTTCTGAGGGGGAGGGTGGGGTTCACTTCGCTCGGGAGCTCCCGAACGAAGTGAACCCCACCCCTCCCCCTCAGAAATCGTGGGGGGCAGGGGTGGGGCTCGCTCGTGGCCCCCCATCGCGGCGCGGACGTTCTGATCCGGCTCATCCGGCAGCCCGAGCGCCACGAGCGAGCTCCCAAGAGCCCGGGCCAGCGGAGGTGGCGGGGAGGGGGCTGCCCGCAGACGGGCAGAGCGTGGAAGCCTCGACTGCGTGCGTGTCGTCTGCGCTGCTTCATTGTCAGGATGGAGAGAAGCACACAAACACAAGCAATCGTCGACCCCCCGGAAAATGTGGGAAAATACGGGAGGGGAAGACAGAAACCCAGAACATATGGGAAAATATGGGGGATCCTGTTATTTGTGTGTTTATTTGTGTGTC